TAAATTTGTAGGAAAAAAAATAGGAGAAAATCTATGTGCCTTTGGGTTAGGCCAAAATTTCTTCAGTTCAATATCAGAAACATGATCCATAGATCTTGACAAATTGAACACCATCAAAATTTAAAACTTTGGCCCCATGAAAGACATTGGTAAAGGAGATTTTCATAAATCACGTATTTGATAAAGGACTTGCTTCCAAACTATTTAAAGAACTCTCAATAAAAACAGGTAAAAGATTTTAACCTAAATTTCAACAAAGAAGATATGTGGATGGCAGAAAATCACATAGAGACTCAAGACCTTTTAGTCATTGGGGAAATACAAATTAAAGTCACAGTCTTGGTACCATTTCTATACCTGTTTTATGGTGAAAAAGATCAACTATAGCAGGTGTTAAGATGTGTAAGAACTGAAATTTTTTTTGGGGGGGGTGCAGGGGATTGAACCCAGGGTTACTTAAATACTGAGCCACATTCCCAGCCCTTTTTATTTTTGATTTTGAGACACAGTCGTGCTAAGTTGCTGAGGCTGGCTTTGAACTTGCGTTCTTCTGCCTCCGCCTCCAGAGATGCTGGGATTACAGGCATGCACCACCACACCCAATGGAACTGAAATTTTTTCACATAGTTGGTGGAAATGTAAAATGTAACAGTCACCTTGGAAAACATAAGCATATACCTTCCATATGACCTAGATTTTTAAAATATTTTGCTGGGGATGGAACCCAGGGCCTCATGCATGCTAGACAAGTGCTCTCCCACTGAGCTACCTGCAGCTCTAACCTAGACCTACTCCTGGATTTTTACCTAAGTGACAGTACAGAAAAACTGAACAAGAAAGTTCATAGCAGTTCTGTTTTTAGTAGCTCAAACTGGAAACAATCTAAATTTCCATCAACTGGTGAATGCGGGTGGGAGAGGGGAGGGATAGGGTTAAAAAAGGGCAAAAGAAAACTTTTGGGGTGATGGATATATTCATTATTTTGATTATGGCAACTGTTTCACAGATGTATTCATATATATCGGACTTATCAGATAGTATACTCTAAACATGTACAATTTATTACATGACATCTGTACCTATAAAAGCTATTAAAGATAGTAATTAACAATGACATGCAGATTGTTGAAAGAAAGAAAGACGAAAAGATAATATCCTGCAAGATAGGAGGGAGTGATGGGATTTAACAGGTTTTGGGATCCTGTAATATTGGAGGAAAGATTCGAGAATATTAAAATACAAGCAGCTGTGTGTGTCTATAGATTCTGTATCCACAGATCCAACCAACCTCGGATTCAAGCAGCTGCAGCTAGAAAATAATTGAAAAGAATTGGCATCCATACTGAACACATACAAATTTTTTCTTTGTCCTTATTCCCTAGATAATACAGTATGATAAATACCCAAGCATTTCATTGTATTAGGTATTATAAATGATCAAGAGATTATTTAAAACATACTAGAGGATGCAAGTAGGTTATATGCAAGTAGTGGGCTATTTTATATAAGGGACTTGACCATCTGTGGATTTTGGTATCAATTCCTCAAGGATACTGAGGACAACTGTATTAATTGTAGTCTTTGTTGAGAATGCAGAAAAGTTCAAGATTAGAAAGGGGG